TCCGTTGTGGTAGCAAAGTAGTCAGCTGAAGCCACATCTCTCTCAACTTCCCCACGGCATTTGTCACATAGCGCAGGCAGCGCAGACCTGCTGAAATAATACCGAGACGGCATCGCGTAACGCTTGTCCAACGTGTTGACAAGTTGCTTAAAGCCCTGGTTGCTAACAGTGCTAACTGGGCACATATCTTTAGCGATGTGAAATGTAATGGCACCTGTAATATCTCTGTGTCTCTGCGAGCTCGTCGCGTAGGCCGTTGCTCTGTACAATGCGTCCTGAATCGATGACTGTGATGATGTGGTGGATGAAGTCGATCGGCATCTGCTTTTTGTTGTATTACTGCCCGGTCGTATTGCACTTTGTGGTTGTATTTCAGATGATTAAAGAGATTGGTTGTGTTAGCGTGTGGTGCCAACACAACCTGGTAACAAATCCTGCACTGTACTTTATTTTGCTCCACGTCGGACTCCTGAAAGCCAAAGTACTTGCAAATAGTGGGAAATAGTTTGACCCTTCTTTTTAACAAGTTGCTGCTCTTGTTCTGACATCTTCGCTCGCGCTGAACACTCACAACACATGTCACTCCCACGTGGCCGAGTGGGCTTTTAGGGTGGGGCGAAGCGCACCCAGCAAAATAATCGTATTTTGTCAATTATGCTGTTTTCATAATCGTCGCAAGCCATAATCGTAATCGCGATTAAAATACGATTAATTGCACAGCCCTAATTCAAACTATAAGTAACAGTTCTAGCTACTTGACTTCAGACAAACAATTCAAAAGACAAAATCAACACAATTTATTGAAAGACCAATCTTTATTTCTCTCCTTTTTTTTGTGTTATTAAACCCTGTCAATCTAAAAAACTGAGCAACTCAACAGTTAACTTTATATTTCTTATTGTCCAAAGCATCTATTACACTATTTGTTCCCCTCTCATATTCACAGGATGGATTATTAGAGACTTTGGGGGAAACCTCAGATTTATGAACGTCCTGTCTGTTGCTTTGGCCGGAGAGGGCTGAGGGTCTTTCCCTCCTCGCAGGGAAAGACCCTGCAGACCTGAGGGAGAAGGACCAGACCTGAGGGAGGAGGACCAGACCTGATGGAGGAGGACCTGCACCAGCTGCACCTACAGAACTTAGCCCATGCTGGGCATAGCTGTTACCACCTGCACAGGCCTAGCCTGTCAATTAACAGATTAACATTTAGTGTAACTTATGTATATTATTTCGTTTTTATTTAAAAAAAAAATGGTGATGGTTCATGCTTGATAACTTTTAGTTCACATTTCAATAAATTATATTTGCAATCCTTTTGTCCGTTATTCTTGCTGAAAATGTTAGATTACACATTCACATCCGACTGAAGATTGGCACCATTTATTTATGACGTTGCAAACTCTGCGGTACAAGGCACAAGTGATGTGAAGCTCAAAGTGAGGCAAATGCATTTGATCAGCTGACGTTTTTTTTTTGCCAAACTTTATAGGCCTGACAATAATCACACTGTCTCTGAGGTGCAACGTAAAACACAAAACAACACAAATGAAGTTCCTGTTAGACTACAAAACTATTCAGTGTGCAGGTCTTTGTGTTACAATACAAGTGTCTCTTAGTGAATGTCCTGTACTGCTCTTAAATCTCATAACATCAGCTTCTCCTTTCCCTCTTGGATGTTCTTCTGGACCCTCAGAGAAAGAGAACATGGTGAAGCAGTCCTGTCTCTCAGGCTTGTCCTTTCCTAACAGAAATATCAAAAAACATATTATTGCAGAGCAAGTGTGTTATTTAAGAAAGAGGTGTGTTTGTTTGTTCATAAATATAATGATTTTTTTATTTTAATGTGTTTTTTAAATCCAACAGGGTACTGCAAAGATAATCAGATTATGAATAAACCGTTCTAAATTCATCAACATTGAAATAAATGTATTATTAAAATAATATTTAACTGTTATCAAAACTTAGTGCAACTGTAGAAGCTTGCTCTGTCCGGTTGTCTCACTGAAAGACAAAGGGTCGCAGCTCTCACTATGTTCAATAATATTTGCCTTAAATACATTGAAATGTGAAAGTTGAACAAAAAAGTGATGTTGCTTGGTAAAATGTAAATGTAACCTTTTGCTAAGAAAGTCCACTCAACATCACTGATGTGTAGGTGATCTAGTATTCACTCAGTCATGTTTAATGGCATGTATATCAGTGTATTAGAGTCATTACTTTATGCATTCTTTGTAAAGCATGAAAAAGGTGTACCTTGGAATCCGTGCTGAAGTTCTCTGCTGCTAGGACTCCAGATCTGTCTCTCCTCCTCTGGTCCAGCCTGTCTGGATCACCTTAAGGACACTTTGAACAAACAGATGTAAAGTTACATGCGTGGCTTACAGACTTCTTTACATGCAAACAACTTTTTATCTTCTTTTAAAAACAGGTCATAATCTTATTGTTATACTTAAGAAATGGCTGGATATCACAGTCCTTATACTGTATCAGTTTAATTGAGTATTATTGTGTAGGTCCTTTTTATTTTACTGTTACTTTGGATGTGTTTCTCATGAGTCAGTCAAATTAATTTGTTTTCATATGCCATATTCATATGCATCACACACGTAAGGGTAAGACACAAACCTATTGAACAAATGCAATGCAATGGATAAGCTTAATTTCCACTGAAGTCACAGATAACGTCATATCTAATATTTAAACAAATCATTTCCTTGTCACTAAAGCATTGACTACGCTATTCATCATCCTTAAATGCAGGCATTACGTTACATGTTCCGTTCTACAGCCACGATGAGGCTGTTTCTCAAGTGTGATGATAATACAATTAAAAGAGGCATTGGTAATAATATTAAAAACAACAATGTTTGGGTCGTTCGTCGGATAGGCGGTTAGCTGCAATAAATAACTCCAGTTCAACAAACCATATTACAATATCTAAGGGAGCGTTATTATCTTGAAATGTGACGTTCATATTTTAAAGATACACACATTTAATTGTGAGGTTGATTTAATATACACTAAGCCTCTCTTCAACAATACGTTGAAGTTAGCTAGTCTATTTTATGCTATAGTAGAGCATAGCGAATTTAAATGAACCTTAACAATGCATAGCGTAACCTAAATAGCAAACTAACTATCTAACGTACAAGGATGACCTTATTTTAGGAACCTCGCACAGAAGCCTTTTGGTATACAGTAGCATCCCACTTAATGTTATACACTCTTGGATGCTACGCATAGCATCGTTAGCACAGATGGAGCTACGATTGCTCAAATGCTACCCCAACTCTAAACATTCATTAACGTTAGCTTAATAAAAACACCAGTAACATAACATAAAGTACGCAGGGTTGACTTACCGAAGAAACTGCATTCATGGACGATCTGTTTTAACCGCAGATAAATCCTATATTTGCATGACGAATAGTCCACCAGGAGCCAACACAACAAACACTGCCGAGTTCAAGTAGTGTTCTCCTCATGCGCTGAGCCGCTGTAGCATCACGGAGCTAACGGAGCTAGCAGAGAGGAGCTAGGAGCAGCAGTCCCGTTGTCATGAAGGGGGAATCTAACTATATACAGAATATGTTTTTGTAGATCCAGGCTAGAAACATGTTCATTTTCTGATGTTAAGTTGGACATTTTAACATAGGGTCTACGGGAATTGCTCCCATCTGCATCCATCGCCTATAGTTTGCAGCATTGGGCTTCACCGCACTGTCCCGGGGTTTGCCGCTTGGCTCTGATAGGCCAGAAGTCGGTTTGATTGCATTAGGGCTCGATTGCTTATCCTGTCTGAGTAGCCCGGATGAGGCTGCATCGCAATTTTTGACGTCGAATTTTACACACCGAATTTTTTGACATCGAATTTTAAACACCAAAATATTTGACGTCGAATTTTTTTCACTTGAATTTTTGGGATCTGAATTTGAACATTCGAATTTTTTTAACTTGAATTTTTACATTTTTATTTCACCTAGATAAATTCGGAGCAAACAAAATTCAGATTCATGATTTTCAAAGTAATTATTTTCAATGCTATAAATTCGGTGTCTGATCAAATTCAAATACTTCTGTCTCTTGTTTGCTTCCATATATTAGGATTTGAGCATAAAGTATTACACAAATAAAACACCGGTTCTGTGCTATTTAAACAGTAATACAGTTGGTCACTTTCATCCCACTGCCAAACATGCTAAGTCTGATGGATCTACAACCTCAAACTGACTTCACCTCTGTCTCTGTTGTGCAGGCTCACTCGGACAGCTGTTGGTGGAGTCTGAAGGCATGACACACGCACGCGCGCGCACACACACACGCACGCACACACACACACACACACACACACACACACACACACACACACACACACACACACACACACACACATGCTATCTGCTGAGGGCACTCCATGCTCTGATTGCAAATGGAAAGCACAATGAAATACAAATCTGAAATATAAAAGGAAATAACAACATAACCTCCCCCCAATCATTTGATATTGTGAGTAAGGGCACACACAGTGGTGTGTTTGTCGGAGTTATTACTGAGATTATAGCAATTGTCACTATAATAAGTATCAAATATCTAGTTTGGGATAAGATGTTGTCAATAAGTGCCTCTCTCGTGCAGCACTGATGGATATACTGCGTTTACAGAATATACTGTATATATTATGTTTATACACTTTGTACTTTCAATAAATATACATAACCCCTTTTCCTGTGGCAGATGATTCCTTTACAACAGTGACCAGCGTCATCTTTTCCTATGCTTTGGAAAGACATTCTGTACAGAAGAATATTTAGAGCTAAGCATGCCACCTATAGGTTATGAGTGTGAACAGCTCAAATATGTTATATTTAATGGGACATCTGTACACTATTAATAATCAATTAAACATGTTCAATTTCAGAACCTTGTCAAAGATAAGTGCTCTAGTATTGAAAGCTAAATCTGACATCACCGAATGAAAAAAATCACACTTGATCCATTAATTGTTTTGCACTTTTATTCATTCCTCTGTCTTGAATCACTTTTTTTTCCTTAAAATAACTTTTTTTTTATCCTCAAACCACTGCCAGCGTAGTTTGAGCCCTTATAATATGTACTATAACTCTACACAACAATATGCATTACATTATTATATCTGTATAAATACTTTTTGTTCATATATGCAGATCAAAATAGGTTTCAGACGACAGGTCAGATATTGTAAGCACACACAGGAGAACACAACGCTTTACAACCAAGTGAGATGACTGAAGGCAGGATGAAGAGATACTGCAGCTGTGTGCGTGTGTGTGTGGAGTGCTGAAAGTTGAGGGTGCATTCTGTGATGTCATGGAAACTCGACTCTAAAGGTTCAGTGTGTAGGTTTTAGTGACATCTAGTGGTCAGTTTGCAGAGTGCAACCTAGATCCCCATACCTCAGACAGAAACATTACAGAGCATAGAAAACACATGATTAAACTCTTAAAAAAACATGATCATGAATGCTATGATATATGGCTGCCAAGAGATCCCCCTAATGCTACACTGCTCCTTTAAGAAATATACCCAATCAAACCATCTTCGTTTATAAGCAGGTCTCCCTTGAAAAAGAGATCAATGATCTCAATGGGATACACCTGGATAAATAAAGGTCACATTTTTTTTATGTCAGCTGGTTCATTTTCATTGATGTTTTTGATTGCACAAACAGACTTGTCACATATCACATATGGGCCTCACTGTGACTGACGCTTGGTGATTAAACCTCAGGGTGTCTACTCTTCAGGCTCATCTCCAGTGTTTACTTGCGCTAAACTGAAACCTCTAGTGTCGATGCATGGAGTTCAACATGATCTTAATCGCTAGCATTAATAGAATAGCCATGCATTGTATATACAGTAGAGGAGCCACGTGACTTCTGTGGTATTTTACAAGATATCCCATTAACAAGTGAAATGACATCATCTCAACATATGCATTTAAACTGTTTTAAACATGGCTTTGGAGTAAATAAGGTTATGAAATTGCACCTCCTAATTTAACAGTCTTACATTTGCAGTGTCAAACGATATGGAGAGAAAATAGGGAATTCATCATTTATGTGTGGTTCATAAGATTCAAAAATGAAAATAAAAGTTTGCACTTGTATCTGAATATTTGCCCAAAACGAATTCATACCGTAACTGTACTCTATTTGTAGTTCACCTGTTCGATCTGTTAAGAACGATCATCTTTTATGCACCTGATGGTCCTGATTTATGTTTTGCTTTATCTAGTAGAAACAAACCACATACTGTAGATGTACAGATATATTTGTACTACAGTATATTTTGTGGAAGGGCTTGAAGAATCTTTATCCAGCAAAAACGTCCCTATAGTTATTAATGTCAAGGCTGCTGCGAAGATTATTGTGTTAGTACATAGAATGGTAGAATATTAAAGAAGTTTTGAGGTGCACCTATTTCCCTTTTTTCCTTTCACCAAACCCCAATGATATAAAAAGACATTTAAATAATACGTTCACTATTTTCTCTCCATCGATCACTCAATAATGCACAAAGCAAACATCTGAAAGAGCTTTCCTTGTATATCAACCTTCAAATTTGACATTTTAAACCAAAAGTAAATGTTGCTTACCATTAGATTTGTCATACATTGAAGAGTTTGGCGCTCATCCTTGAGTCATAAAACACTTTCACAGGTTGGACCAGTATTATAAAAATAAAGGCATGGAAGTCTTGCAAGACATCACACATATTACACTGTTCCCAGAAGGGTGTGATTAATCAATAAATTCATGAATATATCATCAGACAAATTGTTATAACTGCAGTGACTAATTACATTTCTGAAACGAGTCTTCCAACTGGGACATGAACACATTTTCTCAAAATAATATGAACACTGACAGGATAAACAGCGTCCTGTTGAGTGAGACTAACATTCCTCAGAAGCAGAAACCACTGGGAGGTCAATATCAACAATTAGAGCCAAATGTTCCTAAACAAAACCAAAGTCAAGGAGAGAGGATATAGCTTATATGTAAGTGAAATGAAATGTATTCATTCATTTAATGTGTTTTCATTGCAGGCCACTATGGGCATTTCTTAATTCAAACTGAACAACTACATTTGGGCCTGCTGCTGGATTCATTGAGATCATTTCTGTTATAGATCATCTCTGCCACTGAGAAATGTTTGTCAATCAAAACACCAAGCATAAATGACAAGTGAAGCAAATAAAGAACAGTGCAGAAGGATGGCACATATTTCATTTCACTGCATCTCACATTCAGTCTGCTTCATGACTAAGACCCACAGAACAAATACATGACACTTTGAATTGCCTTGTGTTGAAAGGTGCTATATAAATCAACTTGCCTTGCCTTACAATCACATATGAATTGATGCAACACCCAGACATGGCTTATACAACGGTGACTATCCTTAATAGGATAACATGTTGACGTGTGAGCCTTGGCAGTGATGAAGCAGTGAGATGTGTTGGAGTAAATCATTAAAACACTGGAATGACATTAATGGTTGGCTGTGAACAAAACATTTCTTTGTTTCCTTGGCAACGCATTAGGAAAGTAGGAGCTGTGCCACGCTGACCTCAGAGTCCCTGCTTTCTTTCCATGAATTCTCTCTGCTTGCAACCCTCTGCATTACCACGTCACTCAGCTAGCAGAGCGATGCTCCAGCGACAGCTCAGAATACTGCATGCCATAAAAGTCACATAAACATACGAAATAAAATAAAATCACAAAGTATGGCATGAGCTCTCAGGGAACCAGCCCCGATCTGCCCAGCATGCCCAGTAAAAATATCCCTGACTACAAACAAATCTCACACACACACACACACACACACACACACACACACACACGCACACGCACACGCACACACACACGCACACACACACACACACACGCACACGCACACGCACACGCACACACACACACGCACACGCACACACAAATGTATGAGGTTACATTTTGATTCCGTGTACACTGAAGAACTGAAACGTTGAATTGAATTAAATATATTATGTCAACAGATCACACATAACTTTATTAGGTTAGATGAAAGATATTAATATTAAGTTGAACCTAATATTAGTTATTTAAACTTAATATTAGTGCTTTCAACTAACCTAATACAGTTATGTGAAATCTGTTGATATAATACACTTCATTCAAGGATCAGGTTTCCAGTGTAGCTTTGATACTGCAGGCTGTGGATTAGTTAAAGTCTCTCTTCATGTTTCTCAAGGTATACAACAAAGAGACACAGCAGCTGTTTGAGATCCTTGAAGGGTAGGAAAATGTCTATGTGTTTGTGCACCTCTGAAAGCGAATGCATATATAATTCCAATATGGATTCTCAATTGGCAAAGCACCGGAAGTGAGAAGAAGTTGCATGCTTTGGGTCAGTCTGATCTGTGTCTGGATGTGAACAAAAAACAAAACGTTTTGATGCAGCATCGCGTGGAGAGAAGGAATGTGGATGATCGAGATGGAAGGAAAGCTGCAGACAAATCCTGCCAAAGATGTTGTCTCTCTTCTGGAGACAGAGCAGTGTGTAATCCCATCTCCCGCAGGTCTGATGAGGTCACTTGAGTGGGGGGTGCAGCTCGGACTGAACACCCAGCAGGGCCTTTTGAAGGCCACCTTCCCTCCATGGGCTCAGAAAGGTAGGATGAATATTGCACATCATGTCCGCATGCCTTGACGTTATCGATCAGTTATTCTGGGTTCTCCTTTTTTCAGACTCAGGGTGTGGCGGGTGGTCCTTGAGGCCAATGCTTTTATGGAGAAGAAGAAGGGAGTCTTTTATCTGGATGAAAAGGCAGGAGAAAATGAGTCAGAAAATCTGAATATAAAAAAATGGAAGAACTGAGACATTACATTACTGACACATTTAAATAAAAAAGAGGATGTTTCAACTAACCTTATACAATTATGTGTCATTTATTGACATAAAACATTTAATTAAGGTCCACGTTTCCGTTTTTTCAGTGTACAATCCACACGAGAATGGACACATTTGGAAATATAGGAAGTGACAACAGCAACTAAACATTTTGATATAATAGGTATGTCACATCCTGCAAAAAACGGAATGTGGCCAAATATTATTGCAACTACATCTGTTGCTGGATTAATTGTACCAGCAGTGTATCTGTTCTATAGGACGCGCCTGAGACAGATAACTGAAGCAGCTTAACCTCATACAGTGTGTTGTAAATAAAGGGCTGGAGCTACAGTAGTCTCCAGTCAAATGTCTCTGTCCCTAAACATTGTTTCTGGAGTAAAGAGCTTTGATGGAGGGAGAGATCTTCTGTTTATGGCTGATGGAAACAGAGCTCTGCTTCAGTCTTCCCTCCATAAATGAACAGCTGCCTGGTGAGCGACTCAGCCTCTGTTCATCAAAATACTACACTGCTGTACACTTGTTTTATTTATAATGTTTAGCATTTAGAGGATATCTTAAGTGAAGTTATTTGTACTCAAACCAAAACATAACTTTTCTACAAAAAACATTCTAGGCATAGTTTTGAATTTTAGAATTGTGGTTGTATATCTTTTGTACTATTTTGTAGTCAGGGAATACAGACAGGGGAATGGGCAGGGGGGCAACACATTGCAATGCTGTGTATGGGGGCATGAGCAAAATATTTTATATCCCAAAATAAAGGCCAACTATTTACACAATAGTCATTCTGCTGGTCTGGACCGCTCAGATTGTTTGTGTCCTTGTGTGATTTTGGTGTTTTAGAGGGTGAGAAACTGACGTGTTCTGCAAGGTAACATTGTTATTGTTGTCAAAGGAGTCTGGTAGCTTTGGTGAGTGCATAAATGGATGAACACTGGCTGTGAAAATATTTTAAATAAATCATACAATTAGACCTAAATAGATTTATTTTGGGTTAAAATATGTACACTTCAGTACATTGCACAGCTCCATCTCTGTGTTTCCAAACTGTGGACATGCTGACTGCAGGGACTGTACATACCTCATGAAACCCCACTTCAAAATCTCTGAACAACCTAATAATAACTAAGGGTTTTGTTGTTGTATTATCCTGGGAACGTTTTCTTTTTTATGGTGCAGTATTTTAGTTTGACCTGCTCTCTCACCTTATCGAGCTGCACCACTGAGGATCTGATTATCTCCTTCCACTTCTGGAGATCCTCTTCATCGTCGCGCTGCTGGGAGTCCGTGAGCTGCACCCATTCCAGCTGGGTGTCCGGAGCTCCGCTGGTGAGACACAGGTAGAAAAGTGTTGACCGTAAAGATGGACTTGGCTGGACTCTGTATAAGAAAATCTATCATTTTATCAGATGGAATCAAACAAAGATTAGGAATGAGACACACAGAAATCTGGACTTTACCTTAACAAAAGAAAGAAGAAATGACCGTCTGAGGAGGAGCCAGAAAGGGCCAGATTGAGGATTTAAAAAACCTGTTTTTCAGGCTCAGATCGTAAAATCATGTGATATATTTTCTCAATTAAAATTGAAATGAGGCTGAAGCAAAACATTTGGAGATTCGGCACGTTATCACTTATTAGCTGCGCTCTTACTGGTATTTAAGGCCCCGGCCACACGAGGACGAAAACGGTCGTTTGCGTTACTGTTTAGCGTCATATAGACCGTTCGGCCACAAGAGGACGACCGAATACGGCACTAAACGACTGCGGAAACGATAACGGGTCCCAAGGTGGATAGAACAGCATACGCAACGCTCTGGGGGGTCCAACGGCTCCGTGTGTACGCCCTATACGATCATTTTCTTATAATGATGACGCAATAGCCCCGCCTCTCCCCACCTCTGCTGCTCACCCCCGCGTCAAAGTAAACTGCAAACTGAATTCAGATTATTTATCTTTCTCTCGATATGGACATAAACGCGATGAAGTCTAATCTGACAGGATGGAGACACCTCTCAAACTACCTAAACTAGTTATAAATATGTTTATTTTTACTGTCGGCCGGGTCACTCATTACTGGATCAGCTGCTGCATGAAACAGACACTGACGCTGTCCGAAGAGAGATTCGTTATTCATTTGTTTTAAAGCTCAATAAATAACAAAGAAGACCTTTGACCGGCACTTTTATAATTTCGTCCGGAAGATTTAAACTTGAATACACATTGACTGGCGAAAAACTCTGCCCGGTTTGCTCGGCCCCCACCGCGGAGAATAAACAGAAGGGCAACCATGACAACCATGCTTCTTCGCTGCTTTTGTGGAGGAAGTTACAGCGCCACTACAGGCTCGGCATATGTACTGCAGCTTCTCCAGCGGTTGGAGCTGTCACTACCCGATCCGTCCCCCTGCCCGATCGGTACTGCGCATGTGCGAGATGGTCCGCCATATCCGGACGGCAACCCAAGATGGACACTTGACACAGTGGCTTTTAGCAAAGCTCAAAAAGAAAACTCGAGAGAGATGAGTTATTGTTATTACAACGTGACTTCACTATTATTTAACAACTCTTTTTATTGGGTTCTTTTATTTGGGGTTAAGTACATTGTCAGAATAAGTGAGAAATGGATTTAACTTCTGCTAGACAGCCATATGCCATACATGTTTGCATACATTCACAGTACATATTTATTCAGTATGATAGCTGTCTAACAGAAGTTAAATCCATTTCTCACTTATTCTGACAATGTACTTAACCCCAAATAAAAGAATCCAATAAAAAGAGTTGTTAAATAATGGTGAAATCACGTTGTAATAACGGCCCGTCTACACTACAGGCGTCAAAAAATGCTTTCAACGCTTCGCCCATTAATTTGAATGGGGTGACGTAGGATATTTTCAAACTTCGCCGAACTGCATTGTGGGTAGCATGGCAAGGCGTTGCAAGCATCACGAGCGTCTATCGGCGTCAAAAGTTGAACAATGTTCAACTTTTGAGGCTCGATGCTTGCTCGAAGCTGGCGTCAGCCAATTAAATCCCGTTTATGCAAATCTGCCAGTACAAGCGCTAGCCAATCAAACCGCTGCTGGGAGAGACTACGCAGGTCATTTCCTCATATTAAAAAAAATGGAGGGAAAATTCATTATAGCGGTAGTGAATCACCCGGTGCTGTATGATCAGTCTCTGTTCATCTACCGGGATACAAACCGGAGGAGCGAGGCATGGAGGGAGGTGGCAGAGACAGTGGGTGAAACTGGTAGGTTTTTGCCTGTTTGGGGATTTTATATCCAGTTTACTTCGTTTTAACATTGCTATTGCTTTGTATGTCGGGGGCAGGAGATTCATGTGATTGGTTGTTGGTCGCAAACAATCGCCAAGCCTCAGACACGCCCAGCTTCAAGATTTTTTGATGCCTGTAGTGTAGACGGGCCGTAACAATAACTCATCTCTCTCGAGTTTTCTTTTTGAGCTTTGCTAAAAGCCACTGTGTCAAGTGTCCATCTTGGGTTGCCGTCCGGAGTTGTCCAATATGGCGGACCATCTCGCACATGCGCACTGCAGATCGGGCAGAGCTGCAGATCGGGTAGTGACAGGAGCTAAACGGAGCTGTCTCGTGTGGACAGACCAAGCCCCCAGGAAGTGCGCCGGACTCAGATGAAAATATTCGTGCTGGCCAAACGGCGGTACTACACTTCCGTTTGGTTGCCAGGCCCGGAAACACTTTTTCCCATTGACTTACATGGGGAAAGAGTGGTCTGTAAATCGTTGGATACTTTTTTTTAAACTAAATAAACTACCCAGTATGAACACTTGTATAGCCCTTATTAAAAACATTTGTTCCTCAAGTTGTAATAATGTGCTAATAACATTATTCTGAGAGTTATTTCCCTTGCATTATGAACGCGCATCTAACCCACGGGACCGCGCCGCCCGCCACGTTCAAGTTACGTGTCCCGACCAATCAGAGCACACTGTGCTCACAGGAAGGGTGGGGGCTGGATCTATTGGAGCTACAACGAGCTGTTAAAGGCAGAGAGTGACATTCAGTGAATACAATACACGTAGTTTACAGAGATGCTGTTTGAGAAACCAATGTGAGTTGCGTTTATCTTTACCCATGGATGCACAATAAGAACGGACCCATATCGTCTTACTGCCATCCCACGGAGCTGTAATAATGGATATATTGCACATGTTTGCTGTAATTCATTATCATACTACATGGGCTGTATGATTAAATCTTGTACCGTAAATGTTGTATTAAATAAAGTTAATATTACTTATTATTATAAGTATACATATATATATATATATATATATATATATATATATACAGTACAATCATTCTTTCATGCTAAATGAAGCTCTGTTTCTTGGATATCACTAGATCCTGTTACAGCGTAATGTAAGTACATTCTAAAAACACACAATATGTGTACATTAGCATAATGACTAGCTAGCCGCTAGCTGCTAACTGCCACCTCGTTAATATCAAATCCATCATAATAACAAATCATTACCATGCTGTCATGAACGCACGGTGCTGTTACGTGTACGCAAATTGACGTGCTTGATCTGAACGAGCATTTTGGTAAAGTTGCGCATGCGCTATGAGCGCACATACGGGTACTTCTCAGGCATGCCGGGTAATCTGTGACGTTTCACTCTCTCAAAAGTTGGGCCATTTTATCATCATGCGCTAATGAGCAACTCTCATAGGAATGAATGAGGCCCCGCCTCCCACGCTGTATCCAGTTCTTATTATACATCCATGGGACAGACACTATCCGGTGAATATTGCGTGTGGACAGAAGCTTTTTTGCGATTGCGTTTGCGTTAATCCTATGCGTTTAGCCGTTTCGTCCTCGTGTGGCCGGGGCCTAAAATCCTTCTCTTCACAAACAAGGCCCTTATGTTAAGGGTCTGGCACCATCTTATCTCAAAGAGCTAATAATACCCTATTACTAGAGCACTGTGATCACAGAATGCATTGTTCCTTGTTGTTCATAGAGTCTCCAAAAGTACAATGGCCAGAGCATTCAGCTATCAAGCTCCTGTTCCTGTGTGTGACTGGGGGGTGACACCCTCCCAGCATTTACTGTATGAGCCGGCTGAAGACTCTCCTCTTTGATGAAGCTTAAAGTTAGGGCTGGCTCAGGCTTTCCTTGAACCCTAGTCATTCTGGTATAGTGTAAACTGCTGGGTGACTTGCAATGGGCTTCTCTGTCAAAGAAATACAAACATTTTCATAATGGGATTTATACATGAGATTTGATGCTGATATGTACCTTTGCATTCCAAGGATCTGAAGCAACAGAATAATGCACACACATGCATAACCAGAAAAAGTGATTCCTTTCCCTATGTCCATGTTTACCTTTCATCAGGTCTCAGTCCCTGCGATGCAGCGAGTCTCTGAGTGGTGTACTCCAGCATCCACAGCTTGTAGAACAGCATGACATTGAGAACCACCAGCAGTACCAGGCTACACAGAGAGAAGGAGAGAAAACACAGACTGTGAAACAGAGCCTCATCTTCCACATCACATGCCATTTACTGAAAGGAATCAGGGCCATGGCAGGAATAGAAATACCTTATAGAGATCCTATGGGATGCAATTAAAGACAAGAACAGAGAGAACAGGGGGATTACAAAAGAATGAAACAAAACAAAAATAAAGAAGAAAGACAGAGAACATCCTCAAATATTCCTGGTAGATTATTACAATTACCATGAGATGTGATAGAATGCAAATATCAACCCTGATAAGACATTGGCTTTGTCTTAGTGGAAGTAACGTTCTGCCAAATGACAGACAATTCATTGACATACATTCAGATAATCAACCACTCATTCAAGTATTTAATCAAGCAAAAATGACTTTCTGTTTTTGTATGCTTTTTTGCACAAAGCAATTGGAAGGGCATTTCGTCCAAACAGGGGACAGAAAAGTGATTGCAGTCTTAATCGTAAAAGCATTTATTGATCAGTAAATGGAAAACATTTATTTTGGAGATGATTGCAGTTGGAGTTTTCTGTCGGTCATATGTTATGAAACATTTGTCTGTCACCAAACAGGGACAATAAATGCTGTAACTCACACAAGGCCGATGAGAAGCAGGAGTTTGGAGAAGTTGTAGAGTGCAAAACCACCTGGAGAGTCAGGTATGTGTCTGGTCTGTGTGGAACCTACCGGAGAATACAAAAAAATAAAAATAAAAATAAATTAAGATTATCATGTGTAGACTTTTTTCTCTGAAATGCACAAGGAGGCCACATTTCTTATCTTGTCATGTCAGTTCTACAGTGCTTCACTGACCACAGATTAGCTGGTGGCCTCTGAAGGGCTGGCCTGCCACGTGTTTGGTGAGGTGGATGTCTTCGTCCTCCTCGTTCTCAGGAGTGCTGACGGGGCTCAAAGCCTTGTCCATGTTCCCCGGAGCTCTGAGGTGATGGACTAGTATCCGTTTCCTCCGGCGGCTGGTACACATCCTCAGAGCCTTGGTTTTAGGTGACTGTCTGTGAGGTTCCATCAACATCACATCCAGCTTACTCAGCGCCAACTCTAGAAGAAATACACCAGAGAGAGAATGAGAGGCTAAGGTTTCAGTGAGAGTCGGTATTTGGTTTAGTTTTTTATTCCATCTTAATTTAGAAAACGATTTGACCATTTCTTCTGGCAAAATAAGCTGCAATTTGACTTGAGTCACATGACTTAAACACAATCAGATGAATCATTATGACTTTTGTCAACTTTACACAATCATAAAAAGCGACATGCCAAAACATTTTCCTCTTCCCTCCCCCATACTCTGTAGCTCTTTCACATTCAAACATCGAACTAGCTAGCTAAATATCTACTACTATTTAATTAATGGTTTATTTGGCAGGGACAAAGCACAGTAATGAACACTTAAAACATTCAAATGTGTCAAGCGTAACGGTGCCAGATTTAGCTTTGAGCTAATTTACATCCGCAGTCCCTCACATAAAACATTTAAGAAAATTACATTTTACAAACATAGCAAAAACAAAATACATGATATGCAAAAGGTGCAAAAGAGCAAGAGCAGCATACACAAGTATTTACCACATGGCAGTACAATCTAGCAGCAACAACATATACAGTGCAAGAGAAGATACAAGAGCTACATAAAGTGCAAGAGGAGATACCCCTGTGTTAAAGTGCATTTAGCGGTGATTGCACGTCTGGTTGTTTCTCAACCATGCTTTGAGTTGACGGTTGAAGCTATTGAGAGTGGGACAATCCCGTATCTCAGTTGGGAGGCTATTCCACAACGAGCTGCCTTTAATTAGAGGACATTTTGTCCAAAAGTGGTCCGTCTACGGCAGACCTCACAGTCTTCTCTGGTTTCTGACCTAGTGCAGCGTCCAGTGTCTTTTTTGTGAATGAATTCCCCTTAGGGAGGGGGGGGGCAGTCCATGTAAACATTTATAAATAAAGTACATATTTTTAAAAGACTTAAAATTGTCAAAACTTAAGAAATTGTGTTTTTCAACGATGGTACAGTGGTGGTATGAATGTGGCTTTCTGTCAAACACCTTGATAGCTCTCTTGTACAGCTGTTCTATTGGTTTATAACAAAAATGTCCTTAAAATCAGCTTAAAGAAAAAAGCCAAATTGACCAAAATATACTTACTATACAGTAAGCAACAGTGTTAACCACAAACACAATACAAAGGGATAAGACGAAGGTTCAAAAAGACCAGAGTTATTTGTAAAATCTTGTTTGTGTTGTGCTAACCTAAGTGTCTGAAGTACTCATTCAGGCCACTCCAGAAGTTCCTCTCAATGAAGCCCTTGACAAGCCCCCATGGGTGCTTCCTGTACCGAAGCTCTGTTGACACCCTGCAGGATACACACACACATATGTATTATAGCATTTCTGCATGTTCTAAAATATTCACCTGAAATGGATCACAGTGAAAGTGCTTTAGTTTTGTTGTAATGCATTAACTCAGCACTTGGCCCTTGAGGGAAGCACACTTCTCTTTGTCAGTGAAACACATATGAGAGTAAATATGTTCAGTACCTAAGACGACACCTGTTCTTGGCTACTCTGGTGAGCATGTAGCGGTTGAGGGTGTAGAAGTAGTCGTGGTAGGGAACATCGTGGGCGATCACCTCTGCATCGATGATGTAGCACTCGCTCTCCTGGCTGGCCTTGTACAGAGTCTGAACTCACACAGCACACATTTTCACAATGAATAAACCATTCAAGTGAGACCTTCAGGGACTATAGGCTGCTCCTCAGTCCTCACCTGTGTCTCAGTGACCGTGGCTGTCTTTGGAGCCAGGGGATTGTTCAGGGCGATGGTATACATGATCTCTTTTGACTGGTTACCGTCCTCCTCTGTCCTCCACGTGTGATACACCACATCTGCAGGAGAACATCTGAAAATTAAACTTCAAGGGACCCTGAGAAGTTTTTGAGCACGGCTACATATCTAATCTATCTGTTTTGTTTGTATGATAAAAACACGTACATTTCACTTCACACACTTCGGCTGATGAACAGTCAGTTGTAGAATTACACAGAAAAACTGTTTAAAATCAGCTTCAAAAATATAGAAGGTCACAATTTCTCAATCATGGTTCACATCACTACTGAGCACAATATGCCATTTCATATTTAGAAAAACAGAGGGCTTATAGTCGTTTAAAGAGATTTAAGTTCAGCCCTAACAATGCATTCCTTCATTTTTCACTTTTACGGTATTTATTTTGATGCAGAACATTTTTTGAAATTGGTAATTATGTTATATCAAATCAAATATAACCAGCAATCTGGGGTATTTCTTAAAACATCTTTGTTTCAATATGTTATCTTTTTGCTGCATTCATTGCCTACGATAGAAACACAACCATCAACATCACAATAAGGGAAGCGGAGACGGCCCTGTTCAGAGCCAACAAAGAAACACAGCAGAAATACAGCATTGAAGGGTTGGAACTGAAAGCTGGCATCAATAAGGGAAAGGGGTAGCATTAGTAAAGACTGAGGAGCTATCACTTAAGATTTGTTGGAAAATATCCAGAATAGCACAGGCTAAAATGCAGAGGCATCAAATCTGTTTATTTCAGCTCAGTTTTAGCAAAACAACCGTAATACAATCTCCCCCATTGGCAACAAAGCCCAGTCAGTCTGAATTGGTAATCTTCTTCTCTTGTTCTCACCAGAGCACTGAAGGGCTGTATGTTCAGCCCCCACCGCACACCCACACCCACAACTCTACCCCAACATGGAGATCATTCTGTAGATTGTGGATTTCCTTAACATCACTCACCAGTTTACAAGGAAACTAAAGAAAAAATACCATGCCAAGTTCTCGTCTTTACTTTCACAGAGTGGCAATAAAAAGCATTCTGACTGGAAACATTACAAACACAGGATGTGCACGGCCAGTGCTTGAATTGGAATGAAAAAGGTGCCAGTACTCTAAAATCAGCAACTTTTTCAAGTCAATTTTATATATACAGCCCACAAACAAGAATTTGGCTACTATAATGTTGGTGGGTTTGTCTCTTTACTACTGTATATTTTAGAAAGGTTCACTGTACTTAACATTTTTTATGATAGGCAGCGGATATGGCTAAAGCTCAGTAAGGTCAATATTAACTGAAAATATAGCAATCAAAGTCTAGATCTTCTGCTGAAGACACATGAAGCAGAGACCTTTCAGGTGAGAGCCCCTCTGGTGGTGTTCAACATTAATGACAAGGAAACAAAGCTCTGGTCAGAAGCATTTTTTATAAAAAGCTTTAACAAAATTAAGTATTTCTGTACATTTTGAATGCAATCTAACTTTCCAACTCAGAAAACGAAAAAACGAAAAAGTGCCAAAAGTCTTCTCACATGGCTGAGCTGCTTTGCAATATACTTCACCACTGAAGAATACAAATATGTATAAAGTAAACTATGATGCAATCTAACTTTCCAACTCAGAAAAATGATAAAGAGCATGAACAAAGAACATGTAAAAACAAATGCAAATTGTGCACAATCTAAAATGAGAAACTGTAACTGCAAGTAACAAAGTCTGAGCCATGGTAAAGAGTTACATTGAACACCAAGCTGATCAGATAACTCCCTGGTTGGTCTGAAGTCCTTCTATCTCCAGGATCTGTACAAATCGGCACATTATGCCAAAAGTCTTCTCACTGGGTGAGCTGCTTTGCAATATACTTCACATTGTTAGAAAAGGCTCCAGAAGGCCTTGGGGACATCAGTATCAGGGGCTGGAGCTGGACAGGCTCTTTCATCAGCACTTCTCCTTCCCTTTGCCAGCCAGGACCTCACATACTGTTCCGGATTGAACTGTCCTAGTGATGGTCCATTACATTTAATGAAAACCAGGCTGGACAGTCGGCTGACAGAGAGAGCATTCCTTTTTGCAGTAAGGATATCGTTCATGCAGCTGAATGCCCGCTCACACTCACTAGTGGAGACAGCGATGGTTCGGACTGCTTTCAGTAGAGGCTCCATGGCAGCAGGTGTACGGGATGCCCTGGTTTCCTTGTATTCGCGAAAGCCCTGAACAGTCTCTCTTCTGTCCACTTTCAGCACTTCGCACAAACGTAGCACCTCTACGTCCCCATACTGTACGTCTAACTCCTCTTCAGGCCAACTTCCAGGATGGATAACTTTCATGTCCTGGATTAGCTGATTGTCCCGGGCCTCCCGGCCATGTAATGGGATTTCTCTTGTGCTGACATGAGAGGAGGTTGTGGAAGTCATTCTGTGTCTCAGATTCTCTACCATACTGCGGAAAAACTGACCTGCATGAATCTGTACAAGCCTGCCATTCTCACACAGGGCAACACCCTTGAAGGACTTCTCAGCTAGAGCTGTATGAACTGTAGTCATGTGTGGGCCAGGCATGGTGACCATGGATTCAAAAACTCGTATTTCTCGAGTTAAGAGCCTATCTGCTGTAGGCAGTGTCATCTCTCTTTTTTGGAGTTGCCGAGAGAGGTCGCTGAGCTCTGTGAGCGCATTGTACATCAGTCCCAGATTGCTGACAAACGTTGCAGATGTGAGCACATCATCCAGGCCCTTGTACTTTGCTCTGTCTCTGGAATCCCTGCTCGTGTCGTTTGCAGCATTTGTGAAGTGATCATGAAGCACTCGGTAGTTTTCACAGACTGCTCTGACGCTCCTTTCACTTGAAGCCACCCAGCGGATGGACAAAACACGCCCTATCACCAGGAGACGCTGTCCGACTGCTTGCGCACACTGCGCTAACTGCCTCTGATTTTTGGGGGAGGCATGGAACAAGGAATAGAGTTTGTCAAAAAAGATCTGGAAATGATTGAGCCCTGAGACCTCCTTGACCACATCCCCAACTGCCAGCTCTAGACGATGATTGGAGCAGTGCCACACAAACAGGCTTGGGAATTTACTACACAACTGGGTAGCAACGCCTGTTCTCTTCCCTAGCATGACTGAAGCCCCATCACATGCAAAAGAAACGAAATACTGACCTAAAAAGTCCTCGTTAAAATCTCTTCCAAGACACTCCATTAACGCCTTTGTGATGTCATCAGCCGTTGTTCCATCCAACTCGATCAGCTCCCAAAAAAACGTTTCGGGCTCAGCATCAGCTAATGCTGAGCGTAGACACACAACAAGCACCGTTTTACCACTAATAGTGGTATATTCATCGACCAAAACACAGAGTTTTCTTTGGTTTTCTGTAATGTCTTTTGCCATTTTTTTCTTCAGCTCATGAGCTATGTGGTCGATGATTTCGCCACAGGTTTTATTGGAGTGCAAAACCCTGCCCACGTTCAGCCCATTCAGTTTCTGTACATTCAAATCAATTGGCATGTCTGTGAATGGCCGGCTATGTTTGCCAATTTTATATGCCGTTCGAAAAACTCTGATAGTGGTGTCTAATTCAGATTTATGCATAGACTGCACTTGATGTTGAATAGTTTCACGTGAAGCAGATGTAAGGATGTCAGCAGCTTTTACATGGGCTTGTGATTCTTTATGTTCTTTGATTTTTTTTCTCAGGCTAGCTTGTTGTTCGCCCTTGTCAACACCGAAATGAGACACTGCACACTCACCCCATTCAGTTGACAGTTTCAGTCCTTGTCCAGTGTGTATTCCCAAAGATTTGACATCTCTGCATATCCGACATCTTAGCTTCTTATCTTTAAGAAGGAGCCATGCATTGGTCTTGCAAAAATATTGCACCTGGTCCGTTGTCCAGCAGTCAGGTGCATCGCTTTGCCCGGTGTTGGTGGTGGCAGTTGAGCCAGCAGCAGCTAACGTTAGAGGCTCTGGAGGAGGCGGCGGAGCTAGTGCTAATGCTAATGCACTAGAACTTGGAGCAGGAGGATCAACCAAAGAAAGCTCCCCATCAGACACAATTTCCAACACAGGCACAGCATTCTCTGTATTTGAAGTTTCTTCCGGCGACAACCGCTGTCTTTTTGCACTTTTATTAATCCACGCTAACATTTTAGAAATGCTAATTTGTGACGTGACTTGCTTTCCTTCTCTCGGGGGCGTGCCTGCTCTGTTCTATCACTCTACATAGCCACCCACTGGGTGGGAGTTGCACTGCATAAACACAACACACGTGCATCTAGGTATGTAAATTGTAAAGCATTAAAACATGGTTTTACTAACAGTTTTCAGTATGTTGTTACTTCGGCATTATTATTATTATTATTTTGAAACGTGTATTACTATTAAATCACGGTCAAATCGGTTAATTTTGACATAGTCGTTTCCACCACAGTATTTACATGGAGAAGATAAACCCCGCCCCCTCTCCAGCACGTCCTGTTTGAATGACAGGAGTAAACAGCTGACAGCCGCTGTGAAACTCCAGCGGTTAGAGCGATGAGAATGTCCGTTCAGCACCTCATGACGCATCTACTGAGTACCGGGCGGCTGTATATATATATATATGGATGTATAATAAGAACGGCGGGAGAGTGTTGAGTACTGGCACGGTGCATGAGTACCGGAGTACCGCCAGCATGCCGGTACTGAGCAAGAAGTGCCGGTACTCCATGGGTCAGAACCAGAAGTGCCGGTACTGCGTACCGGTGAGTACCGGCCCAATTCCAGCACTGTGCACGGCCCAGGACACGAGGGCTCCTGGTAGACAGGGTATGTTGGGACCAATCTGCACGGCATCAGTGATAATAGTTTTTTTTTAGTGCCTATCTCAAATCCCAAGAGAGATATTTAAAGAACCAACCCCAGTAACAACCTTTCATCCCACTTCCTTCTGCTAAACAATGTAGACGTTTCTGCAGTCGAACCATCAGACTAGAGAGCAGCTTCATTTCAGAGTCAGACTACCCCTGAAGCAGGGTTTCCGCTAGGATTTTTTCTTGCCGGTCAAATGTCCGGGCAGAATTTATTTTACCGGACACATTTGAAAATTACCGGTCATATTTCAATAATAATAATAAGAGTTGTGTAGCAGAGTTTCCGTTAGCAGGTAATTACCGGACTATGAGCAGATATGCTTCAGTTTAAAACTCTGTTCACGGGGCTCATTTTTATATTGCTTCAGTTTATAATCGTAACAGATCGAAAAATTCAGATTAATTTTTCAATAAATTATTCCACAAACAACATAATTATTACATTCAAACAAACTACTTGTAGTAGATAACGTACATTATTCAAAAGTTTATATTAACTTTGAATAATAACACGGGAGAAACGGATCCTCTCTTTTCCCCTCTCCCTCCCTCTCTCCTGACAGCCCGTCAGTTTCTCATGCAGCTAAACAGAGGGCGGGGCTTCAGGTGATTATGCAGAGCTGCGTGTCTCGGTCTGACTCAGCAGCTGATCTGATCTCTCTCGCGTGTCCGGTTATACTTCACTCGCGTTTATGTCCATATCGATCAGATCCAGCTCTCCTGATCGGCCTTTATAGAGAGCACCGATCAAACTATTAAGAGTGAATATCGGCCGATAATGACCGGCGGCCGATCTATCGGAGCCTCCCTAATTATTACCAGACATGTTGACCGGCAGGTTTTGAATTGACCGGTTTTTAATAAATGTTACCAGCTAAAAACCGGTAATTACCGGCTAACGGAAACCCTGCCCTGAAGTAATCCTCAGCACTCATTACACAAAGTTTGGTTTTGTGATTTCGTATTTCGTAAAGGGATCACTTCTTGCATTGCGCATTCCTGTGTTTTAGATAGACACTAAATGCATCTTGAATCTTAATGTATACAATCCTGTTAATGTTCTGTAAAAATCAGTGATATATCCATGTTAAGAATACATGTCTTCAACTACTAACTGTTATGAAGAACTGAGGCCCTTCCTTTTGTTTAGGTTGTTGACTTTTTTGTAACTTCAGATTCTGTCTTGATGTAATAGCGTGACACTGGTGGAGATGCCCCTGACTTTACCTGAGAATCTCCTCTGCTCCCGAAAGTCCCTCATGAAGTCAGACTCAGTGAAGAGTAAGTCATACATCTTGTCCACACCAAACTTGTACACTTCGTTGATGAACTGCCGGCCACCCAGGTCCTCGTGGAAAGCCTGGACCTCACCTGCATAAACAATATTTCTGTGTGAGACTACGGTTCAAACTAATCAGATAAACATATGAGAAATGGACTTTGATAGAGAAAAAACCCCTGGGAATGAACTGTCTTAAGTGAATTGTTGATTTCTTTTTACGAGGCAGGGTGAAATGACTCACCTTCATCATGCGTGTCGGATGAGTCGCTTAATTCGGTGGGCAGGTCCTCGTTCTCGTTGAGGTCCAGCGGCTGCAAAGGGGCGGTGTTGTCGAGGTTCTCGGGCAGGGGAAGGGTCAGGAAGTCTGCGTCAGGTAAGGGGCTGGATACGTCCTCCACAGGGGCCGGGTCACACTGCTGGACCAGGGGAAGAGAACATGATCAACCAGTGATACTGAAGAGTAAAAGCACATCACATTTATTTATAAAGCTTCAGTATTCCAGTCCATGAAGTCTCAAAAGAGATAGATCAACATTTAAAAAAGGGTAACAATTCTCAAACTCCGATAGAGCAGACCCACAGAGTAAATGATACAATATAATTCATTGGCTGAGCAACTGTCATGATGATACTGATCTTCATGAGTAAACAGTAATCTGCGCTTTCCTTTGAAGCACTTCCTTAAGATGTACTGTATGTGAACTAACAACATGATACATCCACATTGTTGAAATGTAATAGTATAACAAATGTTTTATGCAAACCCTTCATGTGTCGTAATGCAGTATTATCATTTCTGTTAAAACAGTACAGCAGTGGAACATGTGCTTTGCATTCATCATTGTGCCGATAATGAGGACACATTGAGAACTTATGTAATGTGTGATGATGGTTCATTATGATGGCACAGTTTTACAAAATCCTATTTATTTATGTCACTCAGACTCCTTGGGGGCTTTATCAAGACTTCTATGAAATAAAAGGCAACCACATTATTATCTCTTATAGCAATTACTGCTCTGATTATTCTAATCAGAAGTCTCCACTGTCAGTATAGTCTCACAGACACCAACTTGACATGCATGTTTTTTGTCTATTCCTTAATTTGGCTTCGCTGTATATAATAGCTATTTAACTTTCTTGTGTGTTTTAGAAGTCCCCAAAGATACAATGTTTGCTATCTCCCACAGTACGAACACAGTTGTGCGGGGAGTCCCGTGCACTCACAGGTTCTGGGGGCTCCGTGCTGGGCAGCTCCGGGGGGCTGATTTCGGGGAAGGGTCTGTGAGGCACGAGGGGGCTCACATCGGGCTTGGCCTCTGGGTTCTTGCTGAGGTTGTTGCTGGTGTCGTGGCTCTGCTCGATGTTCTCCTCCACAGGAAGCTCCTCACAGTACCTGCACCATGGAGACGGACAGCAGCTGTAGGTCAAGGTTACCAGCTTGCTGCACACTGCCCGCACTGGGCTGTACACATGCATGGTGTGATGGGGGTGTCATGGTTTTAATTGACTTATTGTCCTGCAAGATGGACATCAAATATTTTGACTGTTTGGATCCCTGATGACTATTTCAGTTGTAAATAATAAAAAACACATAGAAACTCTGCTACTTATTTCTTAGTCCGGCTTACCTGTGTATCACCGTGTTTTTTTCATTTGTATGTATCCCTTGTTCTGTATAACCAAAACTACATAATATTAGGGTATTGGTTTAATTTGCAGAATATTTCACCATCTTCCTAAACTTGAAACCTTAATTTTATGACTCCTAGTTCATTGGAGTTGTCAAATGGCACATTTAAATACACAAGTGGTCTTTAAACTTTTGTCTTTCTACCAATGTGGTATGCTTTTAGTGAATCACTCATTACCATTTCCATTCCATTACCATATAACATCACACAATTGCAGCGACGTGCAGTCAGTGGAGGCAGGGGAGGCAGAGCCTCACCTGTCATACTCCAATGTAACGGAAAAACAACTAAAGAAAAACTAAATAGAAATAATAATAAAATGTCTCCACTGATCTGTGTTGTAAATGTGATTTATGTTTGATTCCAATCGCTTTTTATAGTCAAAATCAGCAAATTGGCCGAGCTCCGCTACAACTACGGGTAGCGATGAGAAGTGAGGCAGGGACGAGCTCTGCCTCACGTAAGCCCAGCGCGGGCACTGATGTAGCGCGGGCACTTATTTTGTGAGCGCGCTCAAGCCAGTTACTTGTGTGGTGAGGCAGGTGAGGCACAGATGAGCTCTGCCTCACCTCAGAATGCGTCACCCCACAGAAACTGTCTGGAAAGTGGGCCCTAAGCGCATGCCTGTTACCATCTCACTGTATGTCACCAATGTAATGTTTGTAGATCCCTCTATTACATTTATCCTCGCCATCCATAGTCTCTAAATAACTTATTTCACGTATATATGATATTTAGGCCCGCTGGTCTCATCATACAACGGCAATGAAAAAAGCACCAGAAGAGGCAGCCATAACCTCTGCCGCACTGAAGGGGGCGCACGTGAGCCCACAGGTTCTTGTTGCTACTGTTATTCTACGCAGAGACGGTAGCAAACAACAAACTAGACTTTTGAAACTAGAGGAAGATAAGGAGGACTTTTACAAAAAAGTATTAGAGATTGTTGTCCAGAAGGAAAGCATGGACTTCATCTTCAAGTCACGGTAAGACCACAATTGTAATGAAAATGGGATCTTACTAAGAAAGAACAATCCAATATTTAGATTTTGGGGTATCCTTTTGTTGAACGGTCTGTTTAAAATGAATTGAAGCATCAGACTAAAAAAGCTTTTGAAATTAACCGAATATTTCGATTAAGGTCAAATTTAAAAGAAAGAGTCAGTGCCTCACCAGCCATGAACCTCACCGCACGTCACTGCCCAATTGATAATAATACATTCCCTAATACTTAAAGAATAAGAAAGAAAGCAGTCATGTCAGACTCAAATCAATTGTAATGTTCATAATAACATAACAATGTGTTTACACCAGAAGTATTTCTTACCATAACTGCAGGAAATGGAACACATGGTGGATGCATCATATTTGAATGGTTGTGTTAAAACTCACCCCATGGTGTTGAAGTCTTCATCAGGAGGGACATAGTCCTCATCATCACTGGTCAGACCCAGTTCATTACCATAGCACTGATGGACAAAGTGCCACAGCTCTTTGGGACATAAAGGCTGAGAAAGAAGTGAGAGGGGAGAGGAAGAGACAGAAATACATGTCACTCTCTGAGCTTGTCAAAACAGAATTTGGGTGGCAGATAACTATGAATTTTTTTTAAAAATCTCAATTTATGATAGTAAATAAAGTGCAGGGGTGTAATGTGGTACATGTGGTATTTGGCAGAAGTGGAATTTGAAATCATAAATGTTGAATACCAACCAATTCTCACTTCCAAAGCCTCAATTACTGAAACGTTGTTGAGTTATAATACACTGAACAATACACTTTTGTTTTTGCTCCCATTTTTCATGAGATGAACTCAAAGATCTAAAACATTTTCTATATACACAAAATAACCATTTCTCTCAAATATTGTTCACAAATCTGAAAAAATCTGTGATAGTGAGCACTTCTCATTTGCCGAGATAATCCATCCCACCTCACAGGTGTGGCATATCAAGATGCTGATTAGACAGCATGATTATTGCACAGGTGTGCCTTAGGCTGGCCACAATAAAAGGCCACTCTGAAACGTGCAGTTTTGCTTTATTGGGGGGGTCTGGGGGGGTCCGAAAACCAGTCAGTATCTGGTGTGACCACCATTTGCCTCACGCAGTGCAACACATCTCCTTGGCATAGAGTTGATCAGGTTGTTGATTGTGGCCTGTGGAATGTTGGTCCACTCCTCTTCAATGGCTGTGCCAAGTTGCTGGATATTGGCAGGAACTGGAACACGCTGTCGTATACGCCGATCCAGAGCATCCCAAACATGCTCAATGGGTGACATGTCCGGTGAGTATGTTGGCCATGCAAGAACTGGGATGTTTTCAGTCTCCAGGAATTGTATACAGATCCTTGCAACATGGGGCCGTGCATTATCATGCTGCAACATGAGGTGATGGTCGTGGCATATCAAGATGCTGATTAGACAGCATGATTATTGCACAGGTGTGCCTTAGGCTGGCCACAATAAAAGGCCACTCTAAAATGTTCAGTTTTATCACACAGCACAATGCCACAGATGTCGCAAGTTTTGAGGGAGCGTGCAATTGGCATGCTGACAGCAGGAATGTCCACCAGAGCTGTTGCCCGTGAATTGAATGTTCATTTCTCTACCATAAGCCGTCTCCAAAGGCGTTTCAGGAATTTGGCAGTACATCCAACCGGCCTCACAACCGCAGACCACGTGTAACCACACCAGCCCAGGACCTCCACATCCAGCATGTTCACCTCCAAGATCGTCTGAGACCAGCCACTCGGATAGCTGCTGCAACAATCGCTTTGCATAACCAAAGAATTTCTGCTGTCAGAAATCGTCTCAGGGAAGCTCATCTGCATGCTCGTCATCCTCATCGGGGTCTCGACCTGACTCCGGTTCGTCGTCGTAACCGACTTGAGTGGGCAAATGCTCACATTCGATGGCGTCTGGCACGTTGGAGAGGTGTTCTCTTCACGGATGAATCCCGGTTTTCACTGTTCAGGGCAGATGGCAGACAGCGTGTGTGGCGTCGTGTGGGTGAGCGGTTTTCTGATGTCAATGTTGTGAATCGAGTGGCCCGTGGTGGTGGGGTTATGGTATGGGCAGGCGTATGTTATGGACGACGAACACAGGTGCATTTTATTGATGGCATTGTGAATGCACAGAGATACCGTGAGGAGATCCTGAGGCCCATTGTTGTGCCATTCATCCACGACCATCACCTCATGTTGCAGCATGATAATGCACGGCCCCATGTTGCAGGGATCTGTACACAATTCCTGGAGGCTGAAAACATCCCAGTTCTTGCATGGCCAGCATACTCACCGGACATGTCACCCATTGAGCATGTTTGGGATGCTCTGGATCGGCGTATACGACAGCGTGTTCCAGTTCCTGCCAATATCCAGCAACTTGGCACAGCCATTGAAGAGGAGTGGACCAACATTCCACAGGCCACAATCAACAACCTGATCAACTCTATGCCAAGGAGATGTGTTGCACTGCGTGAGGCAAATGGTGGTCAAACCAGATACTGACTGGTTTTCGGACCCCCCCAGACCCCCCCCCCAATAAAGCAAAACTGCATGTTTCAGAGTGGCCTTTTATTGTGGCCAGCCTAATGCACACCTGTGCAACAATCATGCTGTCTAATCAGCATCTTGATATGCCACACCTGTGAGGTGGGATGGATTATCTCGGCAAAGGAGAAGTGCTCACTATCACAGATTTTTTTCAGATTTGTGAACAATATTTGAGAGAAATGGTTATTTTGTGTTTATAGAAAATGTTTTAGATCTTTGAGTTCATCTCATGAAAACTGGGAGCAAAAACAAAAGTGTTGCATTTATATCTTTGTTCAGTGTATATTAAAGGTAGGGTAGGTAATCCACTTCAGAAACACTTTTTGTTATATTCCATGGAATGCTCTTAACATCCCGATAGAAATGAATACATTAAATGCTTTGACAATAAATACATTAAAAAACGTCATCAGTGGAAGCCGTGGCGCTGTAAAAAGCACAACCAATCATCTGAGCCGGCCCGGCTAAAGTAACTGGATGGCTTACCTGCCTGTCAGCCTTCCATCTGTGCACAAACTGATCTCGTGCCCTCATTGGTCATGTGCACGTTCGTGTGTGTTGGAGGAGGGGCTCTGTAAGGAAGTCTGAAGGAAGGGGCATATTTTTTCCGGTTGTGTATTTTCAAATTCTAGCGCACTCGATCTGGTTTCTCCATTCTTACCTACCCTACCTTTAAGTGATAAACATTAGCAGTACGCCCCCCTGAACAATGACTGTGGTCTCACCTTCTCCAGGAGAGCGTTCTGCCACAGTCTGAACATCATCATGTACGTCCGGTCCCTCGCCCCGAAAGAGCTGAAAAAGTGCTGAAAGAAGAGTACAGGCAGTAAACAGTGAGATTACAGATGGATAAATTCATGGAAAAGTATTTTGAAGAAGTCGTTTTTTTATCATTTGTATTATTTGGAACACTGAAAACCTGTCTGACAAAAGGCTGAATCTTCTTTGTACTACTAATGCCTATTCTTTATTGGTAAGAATGCCTCTTACATATAAAATGCATTTTTTCTGAGATTGTACAGTAGTGAATATTAAATGTATGGATGAGGAAGTACCTTGTCGTTGTCGGTGCAGAGCTGGATGGCGTTGGGGATGAGGCGGGCCGTCTTCTCCTTGGTCATGGAGCAGATGTCCTTCAGTCGCACCATCAGCTTGAGAGGAAAGAGCAGATATCATGTATAAGTTAATACCTCTTATCAAAGAGAGAAAAGGTCACTTTTCTAAGCTCGAATCATTTCTCTCTGTTGAATCATTTTCATACCAACATGTGTCTCTCCTCCAAATATATATTTTAAGACTCAGCCTTAATTATATACAGTAACAAATGGACAGAGGAAAAGTGCTTCATGCTTATGTTGAAATTGTGATAAAAATATATTTTTGTGAAACAAATTATCTAGGATTTGTTTTCGTGTTTATGGCCAAAACAAAGTCAATACCAATATTTTCCAATCCATTCTTTACAGTATTGTACAGCCCCCTACGAGCTCGATATGAAAAGTGAGAGGCGTGTCCTCACCAGAGTTTCCCATCGGAAGATGTTGCTGTAGAAACAAATCCAGTTCTCTGAGAGGTAGAGGCGTCCCTGCAGGAGGATGTCTCGCTGCAGGGCACATGAGTAGTCTGGAACGAGTTAAAGGTCAAAGGTCAACAAAAGACAACTGTGTTTTAAAACAGACCTCTACCATTGAGCTGGGAGCTTACGGAGCTTAGGGAGCATGGGAGCGCTATCACGAGTCCATAGCATTGAAAAGCAAAGGATAATGTTATTGACTAAGAGGTCATGTGGAAAGGATGAAGGCAGGATGTCAGCAGTTGAGGCCATGGGAGCAACACTTTTTCAATATTTGTCATCTTTGCTATTGAAGTACATTTTAGTGTATCAGTGCAGTGCAGACGAGCACTTTCAAAGACTGTAAGCCTCTCAGACAAAGTTTGTAGGAATATGCTCCCTCACCCACCCCCCACCCCCCCTTTGCTTAGTTGCTCTCAATTGCTTTAAGCCTATGGGACGTGATAACATTATTTGATAGACCACAAGTTCCCAACCTTTTTCCTCAAAGGACCCTAGGTAGGTAATTTTGGAGAAACCAGCTCGAGTGCGCTAGAATTAGAAAATACACAGCCGGAAAAAATCTGCCACTTCCTTACAGAGCCCCTCCTCCAACACACACGAACGCGCACATGACCAATGAGGGCACGAGATAAGTTTGTGCACAGATAGAAGGCTGACAGGCAGGTAGGCCATCCAGTTATTTTAGCCGGGCCGGCTCAGATGATTGGTTGTGCTTTTTACAGCTCCACGGCTTCCACTGATGACATTTTTGTATGTATTTTTTGTCAAAGCACTTCAGATATTCATTGCTATCGGGATGTTAAGAGCATTCCATGGAATATAACAAAAAGTGTATCTCCAGCCGGTTTCTCAAACTTACCTACCCCACCTTTAAGTAGATAAAAACCCTGACGTGGTGACATAGTTTCATGAATACTCCATATTATGTTCAATGCATAGCAATAAAACACAACAACTTACACTCTTTAAAGTAAAGCCAGGTATTGAATGCAGTAGGTCTGTGTAAAACAAGCCATTTTAGATTCATTTTGGGCAGATTTATCTTTTTAGAGAAGTGGCAAAACAGTCAAATTCCCTTAAAACTATTTTATCTTCAAACTATATATAATATATATATATATATATATATATATATATTTGTCGATTTCTTCTTTTGATAATGTATTGATAATGTGATATTGTTGAACTTTCATTATAGCGACCCTGACGCAGTTTGATGCCTGCTTCAGACTCACCCACGATGAGGCGTTCAGTGTCCGGCAGCTGCTTGAAGAGCTTCCTGAAGTCCTCATTGCGCTGCTTGTAGGTTGGACTCAATACCTACGGAGACAAAATACATATTTATATACTGACAGTGTATACATATCATATACTCCTACAGTGCAAAAAATGGGACTAATGGCACTCGTGTCAATTTTCTAGTAAACAAATGTTGAATGGATTGCCATTTATACTCATGGTCCCCAGATGATGTATCCTGCTGGATTTTCGATCTTGCGTCAATAACTTATGGTCTTTGAGGACTGTTGTGATTGCCAGTTTGACCTAATCACACTGTGGATTGATATACTCAAAAAGGACTACAATAGACTGGTCCTTCCTGAGATAAGATCTGCAATTCATCAACAAGTCTGATCAAAGCAAAGCATGACCTGCTGCTTCTGACAGTAAAACTGCACCTATCAGTCAGGAGAGGACCAGAGGCACCTAGGCCGAGAGAAAGAGCTGGATTCTAAACATTTGCATACCATGAGACTCATTACTTGTTCTGATTTCAAACTGCCAGAAGTTGAGGTAACTTTTGGTCAAATTTGACACAGTTTTTAAAAACTACGCCACAGATTTTCAATACATTCACTTTTTACAAATGACATATTTTTCACCAGTCCTTCTAATTTTTGGTTGTGATCCATTGACTTACAGCAGGGACCCGCTCTGAGGCCCAGTCCCACTGCTGCCACTGGGCCGGCCCCCCCGCCTCACACTCTGAGTCTCTGTCCCAGTCTGAGTCCAGGGCTGATACACTCTGAGTCTGCACTGGAGTCATCATCCTTCTTTTTATTCTCCTTTTGTCTTGTCTCGAGTTATTGTCCTTTTGGCAACTTGTTTTATCTGTGTCTGCTTTCCTTTCCTTCATATTGTTCTGTTTACATATATCAAAGGCAGTGGATCGAGTCCATACACACACACACACACACACACACACACACACACACACACACACACACACACACACACACACACACACACACACACACACACACACACACACACACACACACACACACACACACACACACACACACACACACACACACACACACACACACACACACACACACACTGTTGCAACAATGTATTAGGGATACAGGATGGAAAGCAAAATGACCACCCCCTTCTTATACTATCCTTTTTTAATGTGCATTCTTCATGTTGCACACAAACCCAACATATGTTCTCAGGAAGAGGCTCAAGTATCCAAAAGGAAGAAGTAGACTTTGTAAAAGATGATGAAGTATTATGAAGTCAATTAATTCCAAAACCATTGATGGTCGTCTCAGAATAAGGCAGGAGGTTCTTTGTCCATGATGTTCTGCTGGATCTCACACATTGTAGATCATTATCATCAGATCACTGCAAGGAACAGCCTGGTTGCAGGAAGAACTCTTCTCTCTGTGCAGAAAGTTCTCTTCTTCACGTTAGTCCATCCGCACCATAACTCCACACACACTTCTGATGTCCAACTTAAAAACAACTTATAGAAAAAAGAAGAGGTACGACTGGAGCAACATGTGGATACATAATCCTGAGATTCCTCCTCAGACTGAGCTGTGTGACAGCGCTGAGGGTTTGGAAACAGCAGGAGCCAGAGTGAGTGTGTTATTGGTCTAAGAAGTGAAAGAAGAGAAAGAGGGCAGGGGGGAGGTCCTACAAGGGTCTGGGTTTACTCAAGTTCATCTGGAGAGTGTGTGTGCGTGCGTGTGCTTATGAGTAGTTGTTTACCATTGCCCAGTCGCTGCATGGTTCTACTTTAGATGTTAAGTTTCACTACTCTCCTGTTTATTGTTTTTTTTTCTCTAAATACTCCTTTGGCCTGTCAGTATAAAGCAGACTGTGTCCCATGACAACCACAACAACAGGAAGTGTAGGAATCAATGCACTTCCTCCGTGTGTGTGTGTGGTCTAGCATTACTATACTTGTGGGGACCTAAATCTGTTTACACTCGCCTCCCTTATGGGGACAAAATGGAGGTAACCATAAGGGGAATCATTAATTTTAGGGTGAAGACTTGGTTAGGTTTAGGGTAAGGTTTAGGGTAAGGGTTAGGGTAAGGGTTAGGGTTAGGGTAAGGGTTAGGGTTAGGCATGTGTTGGTTATGGTTAAGGTTAGGATAAGTCTCCAGGAAATGCATGTAAGTCAATGTAATGTCCCCTGAAGTGATGTATACATGGTATGTGTGTGTGTGTGTGTGTGTGTGTAGGTGTGTGTGTGTGTAGGTGTGTGTGTGTAGTTGTAGGGAATTCTGATATTGTGGGAAAACTTAGAAAATACAATGTTGTGTTACATTTTAGGTTGAAAAAATGATGAAACTCCACATTATGTTGATAAAAATACGTCATGACTGGTGGCTTTATGTTGATGCTAAATCATATTTTCAGTAAATAATAAAGGTAATGTCATGGAGACCGTAAAGGGAAACATTTTACACAAGCCAAAGTTACTTTCAAAGCTTGAATACAATATAATTATAAGTGCTTCCTGTAATCCCCCATTGATTAGGGTGACTCATATCAATGTATCATTAAGCACATTGAGGCTGCCACTGTCTGTTCCTCCTTGGAGATGTTGCTGTAACAATGTATGTACTCATCATTTTTCCTGCGGTTAAACTGGAGATTCCTTTAGCTCAATTTGAAAGCTGACTAACTTTTCACCATTGCAGTATAAAAAGATTTTTCTGCTATGTTTTGGTCGTAAACAAACTACTGTATAGCCTGGGCCTCAGTGAACTGCATATTGATACATCTTGTCCAGTAGCAGGTATATGGATTGTGGTTCTTTCTATTCTTACAAAAGCAAACACTCTTAAAGAGGCCCGATTGTGCTTTTTGTAATTGTCCCTTTCCTGTAGTGTGTTATATACAGTAGGTTTATGTGCATTTAGGTCTACAAATACAAAAATCCCTCCAGAGGGAGTTTCCTATTTTGTACCTCTTCTCATGAAATGATTGTCTCAACGTGATTTATTCAATCTTGACACGTTATTAATCAACCTCTTCCAAACATATCACAGTGAAAATTAAATGGGAATTAAAGAAAGGAATTTGTCTGAAAACTAAATTATTCCAACGTTATGGGCAACCGTGTCTTTGAATAAAGGACTGCATTATCAACAGCAATTAGCCTGAAGACTCTGAGCCCATACCCCATTCAACTGGTCACAAGGGAAAGGGCAACTAAGGGTAACAGTAATAAAAAAGAGCAAACATGTCCCACATGCTGCAGAGAGAGAGACACACTGTGAGACACAGGCCGTTCTGCCTCAGTCAGCTGCAGTTTGACACTGGTCAGCTGTACAATGTCGCTTTTTGTCCGTTTTGTGTGGATTTTCTGCTGAGGCCGAACACAGGCTGGGTGAACTATGACCCAGGCATAGAATGGAAGCCTGAGAAAATCTCTCCCACACACAAATACAGTGTGGCCAGCGACAGACACACACAGAAGCACGCACTAATTATGAAGAAAGATTCACACACATAGGAAAAACATCACAAGCAAACGTCTTTTTACTGGGAATTAAAGCAAAGCAACCGATTATCTGGATGAAATCCTGCTACAGCTTTGTGTGATAACTGTAAAAAACTAAATACACAACCAAAATATAACAGGTTGTCTCTGTTTCGAAATGCTGATTCTATTATTCTCTGTATCTTATCATTCATTTCCACCCCACTTTGGCCTTCTCTGAAAGGGGAAATGCACAACTCATCATGCCAACAGCCAGTTGGGTGTTTCTCTGTCCTATAGTGTGTCATATAGGTTTTTGTGCATGTGAATGGTGTGCAAAGGCTAGAAGTGTTTCTCCCACCCACTGAAACACCTCCATTACACTCCTTTGTTTACTTCCATAACATAGTGACATCACTATGTAACAATTGCGCTTCTATTGGCTAGCGCAGCATATTGTACGTGATCGGCTAAGGTGCGTGACATCTCTAAGAGGTGGACCAATCACAACAGAGCCGGCCAGCTAACCAATCAGAGCAGACTGGGCTCTGGTTTCAGACAGAGGGTGAAAAGAGGTGCTGCAGCACAGGCAGTATGAGAACAATAAAGAGCTTTTTGAACATTAAAGCACGGAGATGTGCTCTAAACGCATGTGTCTCTAATACCATATCACAGACAGGGTTGGGTTGTAACGGAATACATGTAACGGCGTTACGTAATCAGAATACAAAAATCAAGTAACTGTATTCAGCTCGCGTTACATTTGAAAAACGAGTAATCTGATTACAGTTACTTTCGTAAACCTGAAGTGAATACATTTTGGATTACTTATTGGAATTATTGGTGGAAAGATTTCCTCACAACATTTAATATTCATTACTAAAGGTACAGCCGAATCATCAAAGACCACAAAACCTATTACCGCCTCAGATGGACCAAAAAAGCGTTTGAAAAAAAATCGCGGGTCCGCTCAGTGAAACAATAACAGCGAAACATGGAGGAACACAAGTCTGCGTTTAAATCGCGTGTGTGTGGTTAAAACACATCAGCCTGCGGTCGCTCTTTCTTTAGCCTTACTAATAATTATTTCTGAAGGTAAACACAGTGAAGGCGGTGCGTGAAAGGCACTGCGCGCTCCTCTTCTCAGAGGCTGCCTCCTGGCGCTGCAGAGATTTCATGAAGTGAAGGAGGTGTTCCTTCTATAAAACAGCTGTGGGCAGCAGATACTGTGAGTGTCACGGACATGAATGCATAGATCAAGGCAGACTGGTGCACACACTCTCCTGTTTTGCCAATCCGGTGCTTAAACAAATATAGCTCTACACCCCTGGCCGTAATGTCCTTAAAATGAAGTCCGAGTTTGACATTTTAATTCATGTCCTGCCAACACTGGCAGGACAGAAGGCGACACGCTCGTTCTAAGCCGTGTCCCTCACTCCTCACATCCCAAGCTGCATCCCCAAAAAGTTAATTATGTTGTTACATCGTTTCAGATGTTGTGTTTCAGTTGTGCTCTTGATAAGCCATTAAAACAGTAAAAACACATTCAGTGTCCTTTTTGTGTCTCCTGTTCACCAAAACATACCCATCTGTGATGGAAAAAGAAAGTAATCCAAAAGTAATCTAAAAGTAATCTGATTACGTTACTTTTTTAAGACACGTAACTGTAACTGTATTCGGATTACTTTCAGAGCCATGTATTCAGTAATCAGTAACTGATTACATTTACAAAGTAACCCTCCCAACCCTGATCACAGAGGTGGGGACTCGAGTCACATGACTTGACTCGAGTCGGGCTCGAGTCGCATATTTTTGGACTTGAGACATGCTTGACTAACATTGATAAAAGACTTGACTTGACTTTGACTTGGTATTCATGACCTGAGACTTGACTTAAGCTTGAGACAGATGACTTGAAAGGACTTGACTTTTTAAAATTAAATATTTGCGCTTGTTTTTGTATTGAGATATTACGTTTAGTTTTTTTTTAATGTGATTGGGTGATTATAGCGCCGTGCGCGCAAACCTGGCAACCCACTAGAAGGCAGGAGTGTCAGTTAACATGGCACCGGGGTCCGTGTACGTTTTGTCAGTTTGATTTTTCGTTTAAACCAAAAGCCAAAAAACAAAAATACCAGCCTTTTTCCGTTTTTGGATTTAAAACGAAAAAAGGCTAGTATTTTCATTCTAGCGCTACCTAACATCCATGAAGGCAACATGACAGAAGGAGGCCTGTCACTCAGGATACCAAACTACTCTTTGGTAAGCCCCGCCCCCCCAAGCAACATCAGGGCCAAAAGGTTGAAAGCGAAAAAAAACGATCTGAAAGTGAAAAACGATCTGAAGGTGAAAAGCAATGTGAAACCTGAAAAAGCAAGATTTGAAACTGAACAAATAATTGTTTTAAATCTGAAAACGAAAAATCTGCAACTGAAAAAAATAAGGATTCAAATATCAAAATATGTATAAAAGTGAAATCTGAAAATAAATATTTTATTAAAAAAAATTGCTGAACTGAATCAAAATAATATTCAACCTGAAAAATTATTTCAAATGTATTTTGAATACATCATTGTATTTTTCAAAGTTCAGGATAAAAACTTGAACTTTCAAATAAATTGTATTTTTTTGAATGATCAGAACTTATGACCCTGAAATAGCTCCATATGCCTGGGCCCACCCTGGAGAGAGAGAGAGAGAGAGAGAGAGAGAGAGAGAGAGAGAGAGAGAGAGAGAGAGAGAGAGAGAGAGAGAGAGAGAGAGAGAGAGAGAGAGAGAGAGAGAGAGAGAGAGAGAGAGAGAAAAGAGATGCCTCGTTTATTTCGCCTGTGTTATTATCAGGAGTTACTGTAAACTTTTGAATAATGTAGTTCATCTACTTTTAGTAGTTTGTTTAAATGTTTGAATTATGTTGTTTTTGTTTGTAGAAGTGCATCATTCCTTGATTTATTGTAAAATGAATCTGAACTTTTGTATCTGTTATGATGATAAACTGAAGCAATTTATAAATTAACCCAATTAAGTGAGTTTTAAAGGAACAAATGAAATGATTTGAAAATGATATCTATGTAGGCGCTGACGCTGTTGGCGGTTCTAGTGTTAACATACATCTAAATTAAATATGTGTAATTGCAAAAGCCATATATGATTTTCTTACCTGGAATTCTG